GGGGCAGTTTACCCTCTAAGAAAAAGATGCCAGTTCCACCCCCGAGAGATTCTGAGAAGGACGGCAGAGTGTTTGCTCCACACAAAATTGTTACATGTATATATGCAGAATATTTATATTTATAATTTTTTGGAAAATTATGATCTTTGTCACCTACCTTGTTCTATACCCAATGCCACCTAACTCGTGCCCCTATCCCCATTTCTCTCCAAATAAAGTGCTCCCTCCCTGCCTCCCTCTCAAACGACCATATAAACATCCATCGATACCAACTATCATCAACTTATATGAGTACGAATTTTTCAACATTTCTAGTTAGATGTTTCACGTAGAATTAAATAGCGAGGGATTAGCATGTGCATTTTTTCCGACCAGGAACATGTCATCATACTCACATAATTTTTACAAGTGATTTATGTTGATTGAAATATCTCTTTTTTGCATCTAGTTACAGCATATTAGAGCACTAGCAGAATACCTATAACATAGAGTTTTATGTAATTTCTGAAAATATGGTTTACTCGATTTTGATGTGCCTTGCTGCATCATAGAATTAATTAGAAATTAAAATCATGCCACTTTTTTGGTGGTTGATAAATTAATATGTATGGAAAAATATTTTAATTTGGATTATTTAAAATCAAATTTAATATTACCAACATACAAAAATACAGAAGCTAGAAAAAAAAGAAAATAATTAGGCTTTGTAAGAAGACATAAATCTCATCCCTATAAGTCTGAACTGCAGTGGATCACATTTTTCATACATTCTAAAATCTTATGTAATTATAACGAAAACTCATTTCAAAATGTAAGTAAATAATAATAATAATAGTAAAGTAAGTTATGTTAATCTTATTGTGTGTGTGTGTGTGTGTGTGTATATATATATATATATATATCTTAGACTCTTGCTCTCAATTTCCTTAAGGTATGAGGTATCAAACTTTGGCCTACCAACATGTAAGTACTCCCATATCCAAACCAGAAGGAGGTTAAGCCAACCGGCCATATAAACACAAATAAGCTTGGAGACCTCACATAAGTTTTTCATATAAATATTCTAAAATATATAGCTCTATATATCTCCACCTAAATAGTACTTTGAGAATTCATATAAATTGTTTAAAAGTGGTAAATATTGAAGATGTACCTCACACCCTCAAGTATCTCGCAGAAAAATGGTTTCAAATACAAAAATAATATAAACTCAAAAATGCTACAAGTATTGAATATTATCCATGTCTAATTAAGAATCATTACTAAGTTTCTAATGTATCTGACGAAGTGGTAAGCATATTTGGAATGTAGATGTAGCTCCTAGGCAATATGGTTGATAGTATTTGATTTTGACCTCCGAACGGCTCCCAAGTAGATCTTCATATCTCTCAGGCCACAAATTTTATCTATGTCTGACTAAAATAATTGGCTGACCAACAAAGTCAGGACCGTCAATGCAAATGTCTAACGTCAACTCGACATTTTGTGATATGATTGTTATTTTTCTTATTGGGAGATGAAAGGTGTTTGTCTCTGACAACCAAGATTCCATAAATATAGTTACAATTATTGCATCTATCCAACAAAATCTAATCAATTCATATTCATGCCTTTGATCATACATGGGCTTGAGATGAGCCATTCTCTGACCATCAATGGACTGAAACAACATTTAAAGTGGTGACCTAATGAAAAAAGTATAATAGGCATCATTATATTAGAGTGAGACATATGTATATAAGTAGTGAATAAATGTATATCACAGCTTACTGAATCAGGGTAGGCTACACAATGAGAATCATATAATCTCGCAATATTATGACTCAAAACAATTTTTTCACTCCATGGCACCAACATTACTATGTTTAAATCTTTGAAACAAGATGTAATTTCCAATTTGCCAAAGAAATTGAAATAGAAGTGCTTAAACAAAAATCTATTGTCAATTATTTAATAGATCGTGTGAGCATGATGATCTGATATGGCATTTAGTTTCACAAATACCACAAACTTTATTACTAAGCAATCTAGCTTCATCTGTTGTATTTTTATATTGTCTAGTTTGTGGTCGGCACAATTTGCTTCTGAAGTTTGGCAGAACCATGACGCTATAAGACTCAGAAAAACCAAAACAATTAGATTTGTATGTAATTTCATGAAACTTTGTGATATTGATATTCCTGTATTACTCTAATGTATAGTAATTAGATACAAACTGGAGGTGATTCAACTATTGTAAACTGGTTGTACCAATTATATGCTAGCATGATATATGACTATGAGAGCATGCAATTGCTCTCTTACTACTTAATTTGTTGAAAACTTCATTCTCACACATGTCAATGATAGTTAGTACAAGAGGTATGGGGTGGGTAAGAGAGAGTGAGAGCTTTGTGTGGGGAGAAATGATGGGTTGTGGGTGTGGGGTAAGAAGACAAATTAGGTGGCATTGGGTAGATGGTTGAATAGATGACAATGGTCACATTTTCTTAAAAAAACTATGTTGGTATGATTTTATTTCTTATAATCTAACTTAGAAATTTCACCTTTATTAAAATGGTGTTAAGTTTTTCCTAAAAATTAATTTTTATTTTGTATTTTTATTTAATATTTGAATGTTTTGATGTCCAATTTTTTTTTTTTTTTTATGGTGTATTATTAATACCAGTGATGAAAGAATAGATGTCAATGCAAAAATAAATTAACATAATTTATTTATTAAAATGAATATTTACATACATACCACTCAATTTCTGTGTATTTATATATGTTAATATATGGGATTTGGTTGGTATCTGTCAATGCTCCTTAAGCGCTTTAGGAAAGATGTCACCTATTGGTCTTAGGTAAAAATGTTGTGAATCGTGATGTGGTCCCTTTGAAGGTGATTATAGACGAAATGATAGTCAATTCCGATATGTTTCATTTTGGCATGAAAGACTGGGTTGTTGGGGAGTGTCATGGCCGAGATATTACCACAAAAAGTTTTGTCGGTTGCGATTGAGAGATCCGAAGCTTCGTTAGAAGATGACAAAGCCATATTATGTCAGCTGTAGCCACAGCTAGGACTCGATATTCCGCCTTCGTAGATGACCATGTTACTGTTTGTGGTTTCTTACATGTCCAGGAGATAGGAGTCTTACCAAGCATTGAGCAAAACCCGATAGTAGATTTGTGCTTTACCACATCGGTGACCTAGTCGACATCCTATAAAGTTTGAAGAAAAGGTTCTCCATGTGTGATAAGAATATCATAGTCAAGTATATCTTATAGATAGCGAAGAAGATGTTTAAGTAATTGGAAGTGATACATTGTTGGCTTAATGGTTTTCGGTAGGAGCGGAGCGGAAGGAGGAGAACATTGTATCACTACGGCGATCTCGTCGTTGCTTTCCAACAATCAACGACGTTGATCCTATCATTGCCTTCCCACATATTCCTCTAAACGCGATGGCATCGTTGAGAGTTCGGTCACCAAAGTGATCATTTTGGGCAAATTGGAAGGAAAAATTATTGCATCAGGACGCCTGATGCAAATTTGCATCAGATGTCAAATGACAGGGTACCACATGACAACCCGGACCTGAATCGTGTATGCAGTGGGCCCAAATTGCCACGTGGCTCCCTGTTATTGAACACCTGATACAAATTTGCATTAGGCGTCCTCATGCAAGGCGAGATGGGAGAAAGGACGCGAGCGGGTGATTTTTGCTGTAGAGAAACAAAAATTGAGCAGAAGGTTCGTGTGATTTTTTCTTAACACTTTTGACAGTGTTTTTAAAAAGCACATGAATGCTGCTAAAACTTTTTTCTGTGTCTTGTAACGTTTTTAAATTCCCAAAAAAATTATAGTAAAAAGAAGTTTTATATTGCAGTCATCATTTTATAACTCATCTCTTATTTATTCTTCATTATTCTTAATAATTGCATAAGATATTCATACTCGATCTTGAGAACGTGGTTCAGAAGTTGAACCATCTTTTCCATTTCTTTCTTTTTCTTTTTTTTTTTTTGTCATAGATTTAATGAAAATGTATATGATTCGTGTTGAATCCAAACCTGTTTTGTAGATCGCACCCAAGGAATGAAATGTTGGATCGAGGAAAGGTGATCGAAAGAGAAGAGAAGGACTTTCAAAATGGGTTGTCTCGGGCTCGTGGACTCTTTCTTTTTCCATAAAACTAGAAGTTACAAATGAGGGGTGCTCCTAAAAAATGTCCCCCCTTTACATCATGAAACCCTCCTATTTATAGAAGATAGGAGGGGTAAAAGATACAAAAATTACATATT